CAGTTCTGCCCTGACTGTGCAAGTCTCAATTCATTCAACGATTGCATCGTGTTGAAGTTATCATATCTTCTGTTTGAAATCCACAATGAAAAAATAGCTATTATACTTTCATAAAATAAAATATTTTGGACTTAATAAGTTTTTCTATTCCAATATGAAACAAAAGTATAAAGGAAATTAGGTGTATTCGCGATCTGGATTGGATCGATTTTGAAGCAAAAATAATCTGATCGAATCCTTTATGTTTGAACATTTAATCATCCATTCAATTTGGATTTTTTTTTTAAATCTGATCCAATCTAATTCAATTTATTCGGTTTGGATTGGATCGGTTTTTGATTTTTTGAAAAATATAAAATTTCAGCCTTACAAGTGTTAAAACTCATGAAGAATTAAAATAAATTAATAGACAATCAAAAAATTAAAACAAGATAGTTTGCTATCAATAACATCCAAGATCCGTCTACAAAATAACAAGATTTCAAGTTACTATCTTTCAAAAATAATAAATACATAATACGTTAGATCGATTTGGATTAGATCGATTTTCACCAACCAAATCGAAAATCGATCCAATCCAATTAAAATATGCGGGTTTTTTTTTGATTTTTAGTTTTTTGATTTTCGGTTAATTTGATTATCGAATTTTTGATTTGATCACGTGGTTTAAATTGAGTTGGATCGGTTAATAAACACCGCTAAAGAAAATAATGGGGAACAAAGTTTAAAGAGAGTAGTTTTCTAAAAGAAAATAAAGGGAAAAATTAATTAGGAAAAAAGAAAGGAAATGACACATAACTATAATATTTATGTTCAAATAAAAAGGAAAAGAAAAGAGAAGGAGAGATTAGCCAAAAAATATTACGCTAAAGATAATTTTTTTAATATATATTTTATTATATAATAAATAAGTAATATAAGAAAATAATGTATTACATAATAAATAAGTAATATAAGAAAATAATTTATTATATAATAAATAAGTAATATAAGAAAACAATTTATTATATAATAAATATTTTGACCCTAACGAAATCAATAATATTGCTGGCAGAGAGATAAGATTGATAGAACTTGAGAAATATACAATTCCTGTTACTCAAACTAAATCAACATACTAGCTAATGCCTTATCCCAGAATTAATTTATCAAAGTTCAAAAAAATTGCCCGTTTGAACAGACTTTTGAAAATTTGACTTTTTATTTATTGTTTTTTTAGTAAATATTTTTTATAGAAAAGTTAAAATTATTTTCAGTCTAAATGCAGTATTCGAAAAACATTATCCGAATACTGTATTTTGGTTGTTTTATAACACAATATTATAGATGAAAAAAATATTTTTAAGTTGACATCCAAACATATTAAATTGAGAAATATTTTGTAAAAAAGAAACAGCTTTATGAGGAATATTTTTTTACTCAAATGGAGATGTGAGAAATGGCGTTTTGGTAATGTTTAGTCCCTGACCATTGCTGTATCTTAGTCACATTATTTGTGTAGTCGGTGGTGGAAAGTAAATATGGAGCTACAAGTGGGTAAAAGCAGCTGAAGAAGTTGATAACAGGATCCGTAGATAGTATATCCAATGTCTTGATAATTCATTCTCTAATTATAAAGAGTCAATTGCAATAGCAAAAGTTCAAGTAAAATGGATCCAAAAGGCAGAACAGAAATCATCTACTTAATATGTCACTACTAGAAAAGTCGTTATTATCGACGAAATTTTTCGACGGAAAAAATTTCGTTGAAATTATTGACAGAATTTTCCACCGAACCTGTTTTCCGTCAAAAAATTCGACGGAAAATAAATTTCGTCGAAGATTTTCGACGGAAAAGAAATTATGAGGAAAACTTTTGAAAAAATAAAAGGAAATGAAATTATATTATTTGGACTTTTCGACGAAATTTTGATGAAAAAATAAAAGGAAATGAAATTTTATTATTTGGACTTTTCGACGGAAAAGAAATTCCGTCGAAAACTTTTGAAAAAAAATAAAAGGAAAAGAAATTATATTTGTTGGACTTTTCGACGGAAAAGGAATTCCGTCGAAATTTTTTGAAAAAAATAAAAGGAAATGAAATTATATTATATTATTTGGACTTTTCGACGGAATTTTGATTCCGTCGAAGATTTTGGACGGAAAAGGAATTTCGTCGAAAACTTTTGAAAAAAAATAAAAGAAAATGCAATTATATTTGTTGGACTTTTCGACGGAATTTTGATTTCGTCGAAGATTTTTTACGAAAAAGGAATTCCGTCGAAAACTTTTGAAAAAAATAAAAGGAAACAAAATTATATTTGTTGGACTTTTCGACGGAAAAAGAATTCCGTCGAAAACTTTTAAAAAAAATAAAAGGAAATGAAATTATATTATTTGGACTTTTCGACGAGATTTTGATTCCGTCGAAGATTTCTGACGGAAAAGAAATTTCGTCGAAAACTTTTGAAAAAAAAGGAAATGCAATTATATTTGTTGGACTTTTTCGTCAAAGTAGCTGCTTTTTGTTTACTTGCACACTTTTTGTTATCACTTTATTTATATTCATATTAAACTACTACTTAGTATGAAGCTGGGTAATTCCCATGTGGGCTCTATCTCGTTTTGTCCACTACATTTATTGCTTTAATTTTTCTTAAATATCAAGTGCATTGCATGCTTTTGTTGATTATTGTGCATGACAGTTTGACATTTCCAAACCACACAGGGTTGGGAGTCACTGCACTGGGTCATCCTTTTTTATGCTTAGTAACATGTAAGCATTGAATTTGCTTGGGCATTCTTACAATGTATTTGACTTTGCTTGGCCATACAGGGTAGTGTTGCACAACAAGAGGAGAAGGCTACATAACAAGAGAAAAGGATTGAGCACCAGGAAAGTCTCATGGCTATGATGCAGAGGCGAATGAAAAAAATGGAGAAGCTTATGCGAAGACTCCCTTTTGATTAGTATATGTTTTGGACATTTATAGATATAGGACTTTTTTTTATTAGTATACGTTAGAGACTTTTGTATATGTATTTCCCTTTTGATTAATTTATGTCTTGGATAATTATAGATGTAGGACTCTTTTGATTAGTATATGGTATAGATTTTTGTATATATAAGACACTTTTCATTAGTGTATATTAGAGACCTTTGTACACATAATTATATTAAGATAATATGATTTCGTGTTTACAAAAAAAAAATATAATATGATTTTGATATATTATTTACTTTCATTATATTTGTTTATCAGGTGCAAAATATAAATTGGTATTAATTTTGTAGAGAGAAATTAAATAAAAAAAATATTTCAACGAAAAAAATAATTTCATCGAAAATTGAGGCAATAGTTTTCAACGGAATTTCATTCATTTTCCGTCGAAAATTTTCAACGGAATTATTTTTCCATTGAAACTTTCCACAGAAATTATTCCGTCGAAATTTTCGTTGAAAATTTTCGACAGAATCTCGAATTCCGTCAAAAAATTTGTTAGCCACCAAGAGATATTCGACGGCTTCATTTCCATCGAAAACTTCATTTTCGACGGAATTTTAACCATTTTCTACGGAATTTTTCCGTCGAAAAAAAATCATTTTTTAGTAGTAAGGTTGTGTGTTCTTTTTCTGCCCGTGTAGTTGTTTGGGCTATTCCAAATAGATGTCCTTGTAGTGGACAAATTGCACATTCCAACTTGATTCTGTACCGTCTATTAGTTTTTCACTTTGTGTTATTATGCTAACGTGACTATTTCTATCCGGTCGCGGACCCAAGATTTTTTATAATGAGGGACAAAAATAAAATTCTAAAATTATAAGTATTATTAAAATTTATAAAATATACTAATTATAATAAATATTGTTTAGGAAGAGACTAACTATTAATACTAGGGGGAGGTTATACGGATTATCTTTTTTTCTTACTATCTCTTACTATCAAATCTTAACCGTTGATTTCGTCAATCTAACGGTTATAATTTATTGGGTCACATTTATTAATTAATTATTAAATTCCAATAAATTATAACCGTTAGATTGACGAAAATAAATGATTAAGATTTGGTAGTAAGAGGTAGTAAGAAAAAAAGAAAGTATGTATAATCTTTCCCATTAATACTAATAATAATATATTATGTAAAAAAATATTATTTTATACATAAAATACTAAAAAAAATATGAAAATTAAGGGAGTACAGAACAATGTTAATAAAACCGGACCGATTCGGCCGGGTCGATCCAGGAACCGATAAACTGGTCATATAATCGGTCTGGGTGAAGCAATGGACCAACCATGCATCAGAACTATTGTGTCCCGATCGGTTTTTGTGAAAATCGGTGATTCGGCCCGGTCCAAAAAAAACTATTCCAAATTTTTTTTATCTATAATCATATTATAATTATTATCTATTTCCTTATTCACTAAAGAAATTGAGTGGATTGAATATTTTGAACAGAAAAGGAAAACATCAATAATCAAATCATCATTGCTAATCATAAATTTGACATTTTTAAATTGAGGAAGGATATCGTAACAACCATGCAATTAGTGTTACTATCAATGTTACTACCAATCAATTTCACCGTTAGATCGATTATATTGATTCAACGATTATATTTATTTTCATCTTTGTATGGTTATGATTTTCCATATTTAATACTTTATATTTATTTTCACTTTTGTATGATTATGATTTTCCATATTTAATGCTTTCACATTAAATATGGGAAATTATAATCATACACAGAAGGAAATAAATATAACCGTTAGATCAACATAATCGATCTAATGGTGAAATTGATTGGTATCGATACTAACACTAAATGATTTTACAATATCCTACCCTTTTAAAATTTTAAGGATTTTGAAATATCAATTTATAAATATAAATAGGATTCACTGATCTCAGCTTTTCGTCAAATATTAGGGTTTTGTCTCGGAGGAGAAATCGTGCAAAGTTAATTATACTCTCATTGTAGTTAGCTGGTCGCTATACCAAATCCAGGTGGTGTAACAATGTCTGATTGTCTTCCGGAAGACATAGTGGAGGAAATATTGCATCGCCTACCGCTCAAAAGCATTGGAAAATGTATAGTAGTGTGCAAATCATGGAACTTATTGATAAAAAGCCACAACTTGTTTCAACAAAGCTCACTCTCCAATCCTCTCTTCCTTGTCCACCACCCAACTCGTCGTCAGTATTCTCTATGCTCCCGAGATATCGAATGCACGTTTTCGCTTCCTAAAGATACTGATTACCGCTTTGTGAGCGCTCTCAACGGCCTCATTTGCTTATGTTTCACGCAAAAAATATACCGTGACAATATTTTCACTTTCGTCCTCTTGAATCCTCTGACACGGAGACACCTCCAACTCTCAATCTCTGGTTTCTCTTACTCTAATGAGAAGTATGGGTCTGGGCTTGGATTTGGGTTTGATTCCAAGAATAATGATTTCAAGGTGGTGACTTCTTTTTACATTGACACCAAATCCAAGGTGTACGTTCCTCCTGCGGTGGAATTGTATTCCCTCACGAAGGTGTTTGGAGGGACATTAGTGCTTCATTCGTGGAACCAAGTTTCAATATTTCAGACACAGTATTACGATTTTACAATAATGCGCCACAGGCTCAACCATTATTTTTTCAGGATAATGTATATTGGCTTTCTCTCGAGGCAATAATGCCCTATTCAGGTGCTTTTTCATCTATTAATAACTATATACTCATCTTCAATATGGTGAAGGAGAAGTTCAGCAAGATGGAGCTTTCAGAAGTGTTGGCTAGATCCCTGGGACAGATGAGTATTATTGTGATCGATGGTTGCCTCTCGATTATGGAGGACCTTAAATATAATAATGGCTGGAATATATGGATGAAGAGAGAGTCATGGAGTAATATTCAGACTGTTTATTTACCAAGGGGAATGATTAATGCATATCCATTGGGACGGCTAAACACAAGTTCCGAAGCAGTTTTAGTGATTTCACATGGAAGAACAATGTGATAGGTTGCTTCTGATATTAGTAGAAAAGGGTAGAGACAAAGAGAGAATTTCGAAGAAAAGATGAGAGAAATTGGAATTTTTATTATTTGTCAAAAGTCATGAATGAATGCTTTGTTACATTTCCCCCCTAATTTATCTAACTACCGTAACTATAGACACGTGATACCCATGTGTTCACTTATTACATTGACTCTCTAAATCTGAGAGGCTTCCTCCTATTACGTGGAGCTCTCTTAACAACTAAATTGGATTCTTCTTCAAGCATTGGACAGGTAGCAACATCCACCTCTTCTATTCTTGCTTGTGATTCTCCTTCCTGATCTTCCATCGTATCAATACCCTCATCATTAAAAACAACCTTGTCCTCAAGGTTAAAATGAGGAAATTGAACTTGGAACTCCTCCAGTATTTCCCAAGTGGCATTCTCAATAGGCAAACCATCCCATAGGACTTGAATCTCTTGAACTCCTCCAGCAGTCACTCGTAAGGCCAAAATCTGTTGAGGCTGAAGCACATGTAGTCCCCCAGTGAATGCATTCGGTAAAGGCAAGGCAGTAATGGTATCATCCCCATGAAACGGTTTCAAAAGTGAAACATGGAAGGTATGGTGAATTTTAGCTATGGTAGGCAGGTTAAGCTTATAAGCAACTTTTCCTATCTTTTTAGCTATCGAAAAAAGACCAAAGTAATGGTAGAAGAGTTTATGAAAAACCCTCTGGCCTGCTGATTGCTGGCGAAATGGATGGAGTCTGACCCAAACCAAATAACCTGGTTTAAACTGAACATCTCTGCGCTTTGCATCTGCAGTAAGCTTCATGTGATGCTGAGCTTTCTCTAAGTTTTGTTTTAGTTGCAACAGAAGCAGTTGTTTGTCCAATAGCATGGTGTCCACTTCAGGAATTGTTGCTGATTGAGGAATGTAACCCAATAAAGAGGGAGGGTCACGTCCATAAACCACCTTAAAAGGTGTCAAACCAGTTGCTGAATGGGTGGCAGTATTATAGCACAATTCAGCCCAGGGAAGGAACTTAGACCATTGCTTGGGAGAGTCAGCTGTGATACATCTCAAGTATTGCTCCAACACTCGGTTGACCACTTCAGATTGGCCATCTGATTGGGAATGATAAACAGTGGACCGTTTTAACTTAGTGCCACTCAACTCCCACAGCTGCATCCATAAATTGCTAAGGAAAATAGGGTCCCTGTCTGAAATAATGGAACGAGGTACTCCATGCAATCGACATATCATCTGAACAAAAAGGTTAGCAACCTTATTAGCATTATACTTGCAAGCCAATAACCCAAAGTGAGCCATTTTGGACAGTCTGTCCACCACCACTAGGATTGTTGTATATCTAAAGGAATTTGGAAGACCAACAATAAAATCCATGGAAAGATCTTCCCATATCCGTTCTGGAATCAGTATTGGTTGTAGTAATCCTGCTGTTTTTTGTGTTGGCACTTTCACTTGTTGACAAACTAAACAAGAATGGACAAATTTCTTGATATCTTTATGCATTCCAGGCCAAAAAAAATTTGCAGCAATTCAGGTAGTTGTCTTTTGAATGCCCAGGTGGCCTCCTACAAATGATGCATGGCATTCTTGTAGAATCTGAGTGACTAATGGAGAAACTGGATCCAGAAACAGTTTACCATTCTTCATTAATAAACCATCTCTGATGACTAACTCATGATGTGCAGCAGAATCAGTTGCAAGTGCTTTGTGCTTTTGTAAAAAAAATTCTGATATTCTGTTCTCTTGCCTAAGATCATCCAGTATATGGAATTGATTGATGGAGAGGGCCATAAAACTTAGAATTTCAGGCTGTCTAGAGAGGGCATCAGCTGCTCGGTTGTCCTTGCCTGGTTTATAGACAATGGTATATTGAAATCTCAGCAATTTAGTAAGAAAGTACTGCTGCTCTGGTGTTTGGATGACTTGGTCCAGTAAAGACTTTAAGCTTTTGTGATCTGTCCTGATTAAGAATCTTCTTCCCAACAAATATTGCCTCCATTTTTTAACTGCCTCAGTAATGGCATATAGTTCTCTGACATATGCTGCAGCATGTTGCATTTTGAGATTCAACTTCTTGCTAAAATAAGCTAGAGGATGATCCCCTTGTAACAAAACTGCACCAATTCCTACATTAGAAGCATCAGTTTCAATGATGAAGTCTTGGTCAAAATTAGGCAAGGATAATACAGGGGCAGTAGTCATAGCCTGTTTGAGGGATGTAAAGGCTACTTGAGCCTCATTAGACCAACTAAATGCATCTTTTTTAAGTAATTCTGTCAATGGACCTGCAATAGAGGCATAACTTTGTACAAATTTTCTATAATAGCCTGTAAGGCCCAAAAATCCACGCAATTGCCTCACATTCTTAGGATGCGGCCAGTCCAACATTGCTGTTACTTTGTTTGGATCCATGCTGACACCAAGATTGGACACTATATGTCCCAAATATTTCACCTCTTTTTGTGCGAAGGAGCATTTACTTTTTTTATAAAAAAATGATGCTGCTGCAATGCTAGGAGGACCTGTCACAAGTGTTGGATATGCAAATCCAAGGAAGCACTATAGACAAGTATATCATCAAATAATATAGCAACAAATTTGCGCAAAAATGGTTGAAGAATGAGATTCATAGTAGACTGAAAAGTAGAAGGGGCATTAGTCAAGCCAAAAGGCATGACCAAGAACTCATAGTGGCCTTGATGTGTCCTAAAGGCAGTTTTATGAACATCATCAGGTTTGAGTCTAATTTGGTGGTACCCAGCTCTTAGGTCCAGCTTAAAAAAGACTTGAGAATGACCCAACTCATCCATTAATTCATCTGCTGTAGGAATAGGAAATCTGTCCCTAATTGCAATAGTATTTAATGCCCTATAATCAATACAAAACCTCCATGTGCCATCTTTTTTTTAACTAACAAAACAGGTGAGGAAAAGGGACTGGTGTTGTGTTTAATGAGACCCGAGTCCAGCATTTGAGCAATTTGTTTTTCAATTTCTTCCTTCTGAAAATGGGGATATCTATATGGTCTAACATTGATAGGGAGAGAGTTGGGTTCCAAATGGATTATGTGGTCTATTTGTCTATGAGGAGGTAAGGTAGTTGGTTCTTGGAATAAAGCATCAAAAGCAGTTAGAAGTTGTTGTACCTGAGGGCAAGTAACAATTGAAGCATCACTTATGCTAGAATCAAGCATTTGTAACTGGAACAATGAAGCAACCTGTCCTGTATGATTGATTCTGCGAAATTGATGGAGAGAAATAGGGCCTGTGTGGTTGTCTCCTTTAAGTTTGATGGTTGTCCCTTGCCACATGAATTCCATTGTGAGTTTTGTATAGTCCACAGTAATGGGACCAAGTGCTTGTAGCCATTGAACACCAAGCACCATGTCAGCTCTTTGTATGGGAAGAGTATAGAAATCCACCAAAAAAACATGTTGTTGAATTCTAACTGGTACAGCTAGGCACATCCCTTCACACTGCAGCTTTTGGCCATTACCCACCATAACTTCAAATTGTCTATCCATGGTAATGGGAAGGGCTAGGTGAGACACCACTTTAGGTTGAAGAAAGTTATGTGTACTTCCCCCATCAACCAATAAGGAAAATTTGGATTTACCAATGTGACAAGTGAATCTAAGAGTCCGAGGAACCAACACACCTGACAATGCATGGAAACTGATTTGAGGTGTATCACTATCAATGTGGTCTGTTATGGTGTCTGGTTGACTTGAATCATCTGTTTATGTTTGTGTATTCTCCTCTAACATTTCATCATCGGGAACAATCAAAAGATGGACAGAGGCTTTACACTTATGGCCAAAAAAATACTTGTCACCACAAGTAAAACACAAATTCTTATCTTTACGTTCTTGGATCTGACTTTGGGATAAACGGTGGGTTACGGGTTTAGTGTAACTAGTGTTGGTGTTTAGTGAAGTGGTTTTGACAACAACTGAACCCGGTTTGGGTGTGGGTAATAGTGGTGGGTACTGTGAATGGATTTTTGGAGGAATGTGTTTAAATTGCTGTTTGGCTTCGTGAATTTTGGCTAAGGACATTGCACGGGTTAAGGATGATGGATAAAAGATAGATACATCATGTTTAAGCTCAGGTTTCAATCTAGATACAAAGCAACTAATGAGGAAGGACTCGGAAAGGCCATCTACCTTGTTCGAAAGAAGTTCAAAAGCTTCTTGATATTCCAATACAGATCCAGTTTGAAGGAGCTTTGTCAACTGGCCCTGAAAATCTTCCATATCAGAAGGACCGAACCGAACTTGGATGGCATGCAGGAACCCACTCCAAGAATCGATACTCGTATTCTTCTTAAACCATTGATACCATGCCAATGCTTTACCTTCCAGATAGAAAGGGGCAATTTTAAGTCGCTGAGCTTCTTCCATTTTGTAGAAATCGAAGAATTGGTTAATATGAAAAATCCACACTTGTGGGTCAGATGATCCATTAAAGCATGAAGCTATAAGGCGTAAATTGCGTGTTGCAGCATGATCCTTGGAGCCTGGGTTTGGAAAACTGTTGGATGCACTGGTTGATGAGTGTGATTCTTGATAGTTGTCGAGGATGACATCTAACTTGCAAGTTAATTCCTGGAAACGGTTGTGCATCTGATCGCGTAATCCTTCCACTTCAGTCTGTGTATGCTCCAATCGATCTTCGAATGTGCGGGCTCGTGTTTTCGGTGCCATGGTTCAGAGATGAAAGCACCAAATTGATAGGTTGCTTATGATATTAGCAGAAAATGGGAGAGACAGAGAGAGAATTTCAAAGAAAAGATTAGAGAAATTGGAATTTGTATTATTTGTCAAAAGTCATGAATGAATGCTTTGTTACATTTCCCCCCCAATTTATCTAACTACCGTAACTATAGACACGTGATACCCACGTGTTCACTTATTACATTGACTCTCTAAATCTGAGAGGCTTCCTCCTATTACGTGGAGCTCTCTTAACAACTAAATTGGATT